CCCCCCCTCTCCCTCTCATACGCTCTAATCAAAGTCCCCTTTTCACTGTAACCATCACCAGGGAAGATCATATACAACCAAACCAAGAATCTCGCTACAAATAATGAACTATGCGTGAATTCTCCTTACTGTAAAAAATAAACAAGGCAAACAAGGTTGTTGTGCATAACCAAAAATAACCTACACTTCAGAAATGCACATGGCTGTGTGTGCCAGTCTATGGATGCAAGCCCTCATATCATCTTGATTCAGATAGCAATAAAACTAGAGACCATTGAAACGTCATACACTGCTCTAAGGAAATACACTTGTGAGAGACTGGTATATGCCAATGACCTTAGCGAAGTTGAAGCACTCCCTGGCCACATGCAGAGGAACAAATTGCTCCTGACACAAGTCACACGACAGTCAATGTGTGTAATACTGTGACCTTTAGGTACTCAAATGACCCAAAGTGCTTGTAACCCCAACCTGATCCTACTCTGTGTAGGGACAGCACTAGGGTCGAGGGCCAATCAAGCAACTACAATATCACACTATGCATGGAGTGTGATTTCAAGCTGAGTGGTTATAACCATTTAGACCCCTGACTACACCCTCCACCTACAATGAAAAAGCTGCAAGTACAATTCACTGTCCTTGGATAAAAGCTGAAACTTGCTCACACCCAGCCACATTCCACTCCCCTCACTCAGCAGAGCAGTGGAAGGAAAAAGAGCAGACAGTAAGATCAGAAAAAAAGAAGGGACCAGACAAAAGCAAAGTCAAACAACAAAGGGACTATACTTGACCTGCCTCAACAAGGAAAGCAAGCAGAAAATGTACCAGGAAAGTTATATATAACAGTAAAATTGGAGAATACTGTGAAATGATTTAAGGGGAAATTTAAGGGCACATAGCACAGCAAAACCATAGGGCACAGTCACAAAGATAAAAGATAATGAGAAATGGCTAATGACTGAAGTGGTTTAGGGTGGGATTTTCTCTTAAATTTGTCTTCCCTGGTTCTTGGGTGCACTAAAGTCAACTCTAGGGACCAGCTCACCAACCCCTATTGATATTACTAAAATCTGAGAGGGTTCTATAATTATGAGATATGAAATACTCTTACAATGTTCAAGTGAATAACTAGGATAAAAGTTTAAAATGAAAAGAGAATAAGATAAGTTGCTTTATTCTTTTATCCTCTTTCCCAAAAAAGTTTACAGTCGGAAATATTAAATGCAGTCCTTTAACATTCTAAGGACTAGGCTTTCAAGTATCACAAGAATCTAAAAAACAATAATGATCTTAGTAATAACATTCACTTGATGTTTATTTCCTGAATGTTTACAAATAAATAGAAAAAGAAAGAAAGAAAGAAAAACTCTCTTTGTATTTTGTACCTACATCACATACATAGCTTTGAGTGCCAGAGACAGGCACTCCAAAAATATTACAATAAAACTTTACACGAACTGACTTTGGTTTGAACATGATGCCAGACTGACGCAAGTTGAAATGAAGACCTTCAGAAATGTTTACATTTTGAATTCACCGGATTACTTGAATGATAATGCAGCTGCTACATGTTCTCAAACTCCATGGTGTGTCATCATCTTGGCCTTGTGAAGTATTCAACCACTAAATAATACCATATATGATGGACAATATGAATGTTTCCTTAATTTGCATTTACCTAACATCTAAATTAATGAATGGAACAACAGAAAAAAAATAATAATAAAAAAATAACCATTAAAAATCAGAAGATCCCTTTGAAAAAAATAAAATAAAATAAATTAATTAAAAAATAAAACACCACCTCATAAGCCCGCACGCCTAACATCTATAATAAAGTTCAGATCAATTTGAAAAAACTTGAGGTCAAACTATGTCTATACACACACACTGACAGAAAAAAGATGAATATATATACATATATACACACAAAATATGCATACGAAAGTTAACATTACCTGTACAGATATGTGTAAGTTTCCCATATCAAAAAAGACACTGTAATTTAACTGGCTAAGAGGATCTCAGATGGAATTCCATAAACATTCCAGGATGGAATTAAGTGTCACTTGTGGTCTCTGTGCCTTCTATGTCCTGTGGCCTTGAGCTTTCTTGAATTTCAAAAAGCTTTGAAATCTAATATGATTCCAGGGTATCTCTAACATTTTCATGGTAGGTAAATTTGAAATAAAAATATGTTAAACATAAATCAAAAGGTCAATATCAATTTCATTTGCACATAAATGACATAAGTAAGCTAAATAAATAAAGAAAGAAACATACTTATGCTTTCTTAAAACCAGAATTCCAATTCATAAATAAAAATAAAAATTTGAAGATCACAATACAAAGAATTTTATTATTTCATTTTATACTTTTACACCCATCTGCTAGCCAGAAAAAATGTGCAACATACAGTAAAACCTCTTACCAGCATCTCAAACATAATCAGTGCAGTCCTTATAATACTGATTAAATAAATATATATACAATTTAGTATGATGAAAAACTTATCAACTTGTATAATTCAATAAACATACATATGTCAATTTTGACTGACATTCAGCAAGTTATTATTTAGCCCCATGCTGCCAGAAAACTGTGCATTTGCTGTAGCACAGTTTAGTGAAATGTCTCTGCACAAGCTCTTCATCCCTGAGTCAACTTGGTTGACCTTATGACCTCACCTGATCTTATCTCTTACTGAATTTTTGGGGAAAGTTTATTTTGTAATGCTTCCAATATTGATGCTGTTATCATTATCATTATTATAGACATAATAATTATCATAATATTATTAACATTACTAATAATATAAGATGGAAAAATCTAAAGCTCAAAAGAAAGGGTAAATGGTAAGATAGGTAGTGGTACTAACAATTAGCTCACTGGTGACTAAGTACTTGAAGAGTCATTAATCTGTGAAACAATATATATACTAAACTCACAGTGGGCATATCAAGTTTGTACATGCCATCCCCGGCAGCATCAGGTTAATAAGACACTTTTAGAACTATGCACTGTATACACACATCTGTAGCATCTCTATTTCAGAACTATTAAGAGGCTTCCCTGAAACATTGATGTCAAATATGAAAAACTTGATTTATTACATACAAAAAAAAAAAAAAATGCCAAGCTTATCACATCAAATATCTTACTCCCATAAAGAAAAGAAAATAAAGTAATAGAGACTGGCCTCTATGATCTAACAATTCCTCTATGGTTCTCACTTTTTTCTGGTGCTGTCTTACAATCTTGTTCCAACTCCCAAAATCTTATGAGATTACAAGATACATAGAACTTCCTGCACACTAACACCACTCCCTCACCCCAAGCATTAAATTAATTATCCTCTATCTTGACACTTATGCTGTGCAGCCTCCAACCAGATCTAAATCAGGCACTTGGGACTTCTCTTTTTTTCAATTACATCAAATGACAAAATTTCAATACCATGATAAAACATTTGTCTTGTGGAGGTTCTCTGCATAGGATGGAGCAAAGGAAAGCCAATCATGAGATCCTGTAAGCCACTTCTTTATGTCTAAAAAGATCCTACAGTCCTATTAATAAATAGCTTGTGTTTCAGCAGACTTTTGCCCTGAATTATTCCACATAAACTATTACATCAGACCACAAAAATATCATAGTTATACAACTGAACCGCCATGAATGTGGGCCCTGAGAATATCAAAAGGTAAGGCCATAACAGCCTTTACCATGTTTCGTGCATTCTATTAAGTAGAATGTAAAATTACTGAACACCTCTTTACTCCTAGCTTAATGGTTTGCCTCTGGGAAGGTCCTTCTTTCTTACCAAATAATTACTGGTTTCAGATAAATGGGTTTACTGATATATGGGTCTCATTTAACTTGAAAAAATAAAATAAAAAATCTATAATTTTTCCTATTCTTTTTTTATTCACATTTATTCATGCCATTTTCTTCTCTCTTTTTAGTAACTTATTTCCATTTTCCAGTCTTGCAAAACTCATCACAAAGCACCACTTGTGCTGTCCTTGTTGAGATTACACTTGCAAATGGGAGGGCTTTACAGCCCTGTGTTAACATCAATGGTATGGTGATGGTCAAAGGTTCCCGGAGAAACGAAGATGGAGTCCGAGTGGTCGACTGGTTCCAGTGAGGGGGCAAAGTCCTGCTGTGATGTGGCTATTAGGTACTGGAGTTCACTTGACACTGGAGTCCCATCCTGGAGAGACCAAGAAGAATCAGGACATTCCAAGGAGCAACGCTTTTTCTGTGTAATTGCTCACTCACTCTCTCCCTTCTTGTTATTCAATTAGTATACTTATTAAACATTCCCTCACTAATTTAGTTATTCACTTTCATTCACTGATCTATTCACTTAATCATTAACTCTATCAGTTATTCTTCATTCATTCATGCACTAAGTCAATAATAATAATGAAATTCTTCTTTCTGAAGATATTAACTCCAGCAACTCATTACATATGATCGGAAATTCGTGATTTTTCAATATATTATACATACACATAAAGTGATAAACACCACCAAGTTTCACCAATCTCTGACCACCAAGGGGGTCAGAGATTTAGTTATACCTCTTTTAATTTTACATATTTAGCAAAAATATTATGTCATGAGATTGCCGAAGCCCACTAGATTACAGATTTTTTTTTCAATTTTTCTAGTATTTTTGAAAATTTTCGTCACAACGGCCCCTTTAACCCTTTGTGCTGGGATGACTACATGAAGAGTCAACTATGATTTTAGAATATTTTGTTTACACACTGATGACACCAGAAGATCAGTCATAGACAAAAATAATCACCTATCCACTAGCAGCCCGTCTCACAAGGGCTTCTTTCTACATTATTTGTCATTATTTGAGAGGATGACAGGAAGTGGGAGGGTCAGAGTGATTGCTATGCAAAGCATTGGTCATCAAATTTGTCATCTTGTTTCATAAGATCCCATGCAAAAAGACTTTTAATAATCAGTTACAGCAATAATAATTAATGCTATATTTCACTTTGGACTTCAGAAAACAAGCTGTAGATAAGTCATAATATGACTTATGAGAAGAATGTTTGAATGGGATATGAATCAGAAAGATTTGTTTAGGAAATTTACTCCAACCTAACTAGTTACTATTTATTAATTTTCAAATATATCCCATTTGCATCATCCCATCATGATAACTAGTTTCACAGCCACTCAATTAGTTAGTCGGGTGTTCAGGCATCTTTTGGTTGCTCTGTACTGAAAATAATAAGAAATTGGATGCCCTACTTTTAGGTAAGACACCCTAAAGACAGCCCAATATTTTCATCCCATTTTTTCTGGTAACTCCGTTGAATGTGATCAAAATTCTCCAATTCCAGCTGCTTTGTCACTTCGCCCACCAGTATAACGCTGACATGAAATCTTGAATAACATTTTATGATTATCTATGACAAGGCGTGGCCGGGAGCTGTTATCGGTGGGATATCTGATGTCTCATTAACCTTTTCATAGGAAGAAGTACTGCTAAGCTTGAAGCTTTTAATAATATTTACAAAAGTGACAGAAAGCATAACTCTTAAGCGTATTTTGGAGGCATTTCAGAGTTTTTTTTGGCTTCTTTGGTGGTTATAACTATCAGTGAACCGGGAGAAGAACAACAAAAACATCAGCACGATGCAACCATCAATTACACTCATTGTTCTTATATATTAACTTATGAAACATATTATATTGTATATTAATCAGTATAGTTATAAAACTACCTAAAAATGACCTGGTCTTCTCCACCTCCTAACACACATACATACATGTACCTTCTCCCTGCCTCAGGGCAAAAGTAATGTAACAGAGACAAAAGAACTTGGCTGTATTCCACAAAATTCTCACCCTAAAATGCAGGAAATAATTTTTCAGCACTTGTGATTATTGCCATTGCACCAGCAGTGTTTGCCGCATAACCAGTCAATTTGTGGGAAATAAAATAAAATACCCTGCGCTGAAATCCTAGCTAAAAGCCTGTTCATAGCTTTATATGAAAAGATGATTCCCCACAAACCAGTTGTTTAACATAAGTTTGCTTGTTTTTTCCCCACATCAGATATTTTCACCTGTGGCAGTTATCTAGGCCAATATACAAGCCTGCTTGTCTGTACATGCACTTATCACATGCCCTTTCATTATCTCATGAATTTAGTTGAAATAATACAACAATATAAGGTGGATACTAAAGAATATGTTTGCTACAGACTGAGCATGTCAATGTCTGCATCTGAGAGTTTAGAAACTCAGCAAACAATAATGATAAGGGTTTCTTACACAAACTTTTGTCATTCAAATCCGATATAAACATTCTTCTTCTCATAAGCCTAAATATTATATAGATAAAATGTCTGGCTCAACCCCTAGTTGCTGGGTGGCATGCTTGCACATGCTATGGCATGATTAGACTTCATTCTGGGTGGCATGTGCATTCATGCCATGGTGCACCAACATGGTCATGCCATGGGTTTTTCCTACAATTGTGGCAAAAATTTTTTTTTTTTGGGGGGGGGCCAGTGAAAATGTGATGCAGCTTCTCGACACTTGTCTGTCTGTCTCTCTATTTGTCTGTCATATATATATTTCAAATGCTACTAAAGGAAGAACCAAACAAAATCTGAACAAAATTAATCATTTTTTACATGCCATATAAATATCATCCAAACACAGGAAAATTAATTCCAAAAAAACATGCACCCTTAACTGTCCTCAAGCAGCACATTGGTACAATAAGGAACCACAAAATACAAACCTGATTCACAAATGCCCCGTCCTCCCTCTGGAACACAACAATCTCCCCTTCATCCTTCTCAGCTCCTGTGATGAGGGGGTCAGCTATAGAGGTGGCCCCAGTGGGACTGACCTCCTCGATTTGGTATGCCAGTCGCTCATCTTGCGGGGATTCTTGCAAGGGAGGAGTTGGAGAGGGGCCGATGAAGGACTCTACCACGTAGTCAGTGTCACTCTCCACTTCCCGTTTTGACATGAGACCCTGGAAGCAGCAAAAGGAACTGATGTCAACATCTAAGGCCATTAAGTGTGTGGAGATGATGAGAGGTTCTCTTGAAAGAATGCTAAGTGGTTAAACACATCATGTATTGTGTAGTTATTTGCCCCCTTTCAGAAAAAACAACACAACAATCCTTGCTCTCTGCCTCTGGGAGCCAGGAATTTGTAAATCTATATTTCTGACATAAAACTACTGCATAAAAATAAAATCTCATAAAAAGAAGACACAAGACTGATCTAATATCCTAGGGGCATTAGACTAATAATGTCCTATCTATGGTATAACTCTTCTTAACGCATTACCGCCGGTATATTTTAAAAGCCGAAAATAAAAGATTCTGGGCAGCTACAACATCTGCGTGCGGGGCTAGCCCTGACTCTGTCCACGCGCCGGCCGCAGCCCGCTGCTGCATCGGAGCGCGGGCCCCAATACAGCATCACACTGGCAGGACACACGGCAATATTTGTCTTTTCCGGGTGTCTCATATGTGGGACACCCATCATTACTGGGTTAAGATGGCTTAAGGGGACCGTCCCAGGTGAGGGGGTACAAGGGGTCAAATTGAGTTAGCTAGCATATAGTATAGGTACATGGATGAGGAAACTACCAAACGAGCATTAAACGCCTGCTATGGCTCATTGTCTTGCAGGCAACGCAAGACCTGCTGAACACCTGGGGAAGTATGTTGCTAATGAGCACCCAGGTCCACCCATGTGAGCCTTTGCTTGTTGTAATCGCGCATACGCCATTTGATTACATTACGCATAGATATTACATATATCATTATTTTATACCATTATCAGAAAAAAATTATATCACAGTGATTTATGACAATTTGTGAAATATATCTAAAAAAATATATATACCATTATCAGGAAAAAAATTATATCACAGTGATTTATGACACAATAATTTGTGAAATATATCTAAAAATATAAATATATAGGCTTTGTGTCCTTTTACACACGAAATATGCTTCTATCGAGACTCCCTGGTAATATTATGTAGCTTACAAAGTGATCTGTACGTGTACTGAATACGAAGCACTAATGTTTGAAAATAGCCGTATAAGTAAGGATTGAAATATTACCATTAGACTTGACTCAAAGGTTGGTACATCACAGTATGGGTAAATTTAATTTGATTTGAAATTGGTCTTTCCCGTTGTGAAGGCCATTTCAATACGAAGGTTACCTCAATGTCAGATTTATGAACTTCAGATGTATAAGTGAGACACAGATTATTTCATATTGAAGATGATAGTACTCAGTAATATCTGCTCTGAAAGAAAAACTATATGGAATTTTGAGCTCGTTTGTAAGTGCAGTCTTCGTCTATTGTTGATAAAGCTATCGCTTCTGTTTTGTGTGTTCCCGGTAAAAACTATTATGTTTAGACGTTACCGTAGGTCTTAGGTACCATAAATTCGTACATATCCCACCACACCTTGGCGTCTTCATGATTTTATGCACTTTTTAGTAAAGATAATAGGTGCAAATGGCTATCCACCAACTCTAAACTTACTCCCCTTTGCAATCTGTTAATATTGACAATTATCAAAGAAAGTGGTTTGAGAGGGATAACTAGTATATATTATTATTTAGATATGAAAGTCGATGTAGGCCTACTAAATGAGGATGATTAATTTTTTAAACTTCATGTGCTCGTCTTCACATATATATGATATTCCTCGAAAATTATAAATACACAATAATCATCTCCCCCCCCCCCATAGCGTCCCTACTGAAAATCGTAATTTCGATTGACTTGGTAATCCTCACATCGCAAAGTAGACTAAATAAGCTTTTTTATATATAACATATTAGATTTAGCGAAAAATGCCAGAGATAGCGAACTTTGGCAAGCTGCCAAAATATAAAACGCCGTATCTCTGTTCTTTATTTACACGACCTTTGGTATATAATGGGGCTAGTAACCTTTGTGCAATTCAAATGCAGTTTGTGTAATAGCCCAATTTTTAAATTTTCACCTTAATCAATAAATATACATTTTTTTACTGCTGAAAAAATCAGACAAAAAATAGTTCCCTATGTCAACCAGTCCCCCACAAAAAAAAAAAAAAAAAAAAAAAAAAAAAAAAAAAAATCTGGCTATTACATGGCCTTAGGCTAGGATAGCTCTATAAAAAAAATCTGGCTATTACATGGCCTTAGGCTAGGATAGCTCTAACACATGATTTTTTTTTGTGGATTGTTTAAGAAAAAAGTGTGGGCCACATTATGTACCGAAGAAGAGGGGAAATGTCCAGATTTGTCTTTTGATTTGCTTTATCAAGATGGTAATATTTAATTTTCCTTGCATAGACTCCATATCATCTCTCTATGGCATAAAGAGCTCAGAGCAAGGATTAAAAAAAAAAAAAGTATGGAACATTAGGTTATTTGTCAAACATTTCATTTTTTCGTAATTTTCAATTTTTTGTACTACAACCTGTGCCACCGACCACAGTGGCCAGGAATACTGTGCACAGCTTAGAAATGGCATCCTCCCTAGAGCCAGCGCTCTTCCAGTCACAGCTTTATGCACGTTACATTATACATTCGTTCATCAATAGGCTTAATGCTAAAGCCCCTTTCTAAACGCCAAATGAGTCAAATACCACTCCAAGATGATTATAGTGAGGCTTTTCTGTCACCCTGGCCTTCACTCATGACAGCATGTTGATATTATCTTTCCCACAACCATTTTGCCCTCAAACCCAGATTCTTCCATGACGAGACCATAATGTCATCCAGATCATGGGGGTTAACAAGCCTTCACAATGTGGGAAGTTTTCCATAAAATCAGTTATTTTGACAAATAATTTATCTAAGGTCTGCTTTTTGTGGGAAAATGACATCAGAATATACAGTTTTTGTAAATAAATTGTTCAATCTCTCTCTGTTGCCATTCACCTTAATTCTCTGTTTATCATCAGTGTCCAAATGATCTTTCTGTCTAAAGGAGGCCCAGATTATTTTTTATTAAGTACAAGCTGCCACTTCATCTCAGCAAATTGTATTTAAGAGTTTGTTTTAAAGACTGCAATGTACAAAGTCAAACACCACATCTGCTCCTTAGTTGTTTTTCAGCATTGCTGAGCACTCTTAGCCCTTTGTTGGCTAAAAGAATCTCAACTGTTTTGGATTGCAGTGGCTAGACATAAATTTGATTAACCATTTGTAATTTTAAAACATTAATTACCTGGATAAATCTAAGTAGTTGTAACAATTTCATTTGATTTTTCTTCATAATCCTATCAATGTTGGGAGAGTGTATATGAATTCATTAGTGGTCTATGTTATGCAGAGACAAGCCTTGAAAATTTAAGGTATTAATTCCTACCAGAGGATTATAAGGGCAACAGATTTGTTGTGAGAGCAGACACACAGCCTTGGAAATTTTACCTGTAGTCATTTTTTCATTGAGAGTCATTACACTAACAATATGATGACTACCATTTTCTTATTCTGCAAATCTCCTCACTGAGTTAACTGTGGAATTATGTGATAAGGGGAAAAAGAAGAGAGAGGACACATCACCTTCCAATTTCTAATTTAATCTCTCCATCTCTTTTATAGATCTGTACAAAAGTTTTTCAATCAATCTTTTTTTTTACACATTTGTCTCAAAATCTTCAATTGACCTAACATGACCTAATCCACATCCACCAACCCTCCCAGGGACATACTGATGAGACTCTATTCTCAATTCTAGTTCAAGACAATATAAAAAGCTGGGATGCCTGATATGGTGAAAATTAATAAAACAAAGATCAAAGACAAAATAATGTTGCTGTAAAATCAATAGTTTGTACTTTGCCCTATTGCAAATAAGATTTATTCACATTATCATAATCAATTTAGTTTCCCCTCATTCTGTCCCTCCTCTTGTATCATTCATCTCTATTGTTTTACACTTTTTTAACCTAATGTTGACGGAAAAATGGTGCATTCCCTTTGGCAATGCTTGGTTAAATGTTTCTACACATAGATGCCTCTGCTAATGCTTAGCCACAAAGGAGTCAATTAGTAGATCTTGCAACCTAACTTTTCCTTGAAAAAGTGAGAAAAAAACACTTTTGTTAATAATGCTATCAATATTGGCATTATTTTTGTTATAAACATTATAAACATTACTATATTGTTACTAACATTACTAACAGCAATATTAGATATTAAAAAATATTATCTAAAATCAAGGAAAGGGATAAATAGGTTAGACAGGTAGTTTGCGTAATTGGCTCATCAGTGACAGTACTTGTGGAGCCATCTATATTCAAAAACAATTACTGAATTCAACACACACAATGGGCAATAGCATGTACATACATGCCATGCCCAGCGGCTTGGGGTTAAACTTCCTGCTGACTATGGTAACTGTAACTCAAACCGGAACAGCCAATGTAGATCATGAACAATAAAGAAGCATGGAAAACAAATCTCAACCAATATTTCAACGGATACCAACACACGATAAAGAAAATAAACACCCACCACAAAAAACAAGCAAAGTATCCCACAAACAACACATTACACATGCCTGGTATGGAGACAAAAGATATTCCACTCCCTCCTCATGGTTGTTGTTGATGCTGTTGTTGTTGTTGTTGGCAATCACTACCTCTGGGTCGTAGCAGATATCTTCCTCCTTCACTACTGTTGACATTTCTGACACCTGAAAGTTAGGAATAAATTTCTAGCAATATGGAAATTACCTACTTCACAGGCATATAGGTGAGAAAGAAAACTTACTAAAGAATAATGTAAACCATTGCATCCAGGTGCCTCATTCAGGCACTCAGACTAAGATCCATGCATTAGGTTTATTTGATGGAAATCTGGGTGAGTGGCTTGTAGGCCTGGCCCACAAAACACTCATGCATGGCATCAAGACTCCTTGCCTCCTCTTTGTAGTGCTATTAGCTCTTATCCTGGAGACATGTTTTTACTATACTGCATTCTTTGATGCCTATTTTTGTCCTTTGTTATGCTGTATCAAGACTGATTTAGTTGAGCAAACTCAATATCATCTTTTCAGGTAGTTCATACTCTGTGCAATAGCAGTAACAATAAGTAACATTGTGCTACTTGTATATTTACCTGAATTTTCAAGTAAATGAATTTTCTATAATACATTGTGCTCAGCAGGAAACTGCAGACAAGAAGAGGAGGTTCCTTGTATGTGGAAACTGTCTTCCTAGAGTAGGCAGTCTCCTAGGCATGGCTCACTGATGGTACATACCACCCCATTTAGCAATTTTATGCTGTAGCTGATAACCAAATGATCCCCACAAACAAATGTTTACATAGTCTCACCCTCCTGAATTGATGAACCCTCACATAACTGTTTACCTAAACCTCTGGCTGTGCATGGAGTCAAAGGCATACAGCAATAATAATGTTTATTTGAACATAAGAAAATGCTTTATTAAAATATAGTGTATGTATTACATGGGAAGGAATAGGTCGGTTAAAACAAATACATGTGCTAGATATCAAAGGTATTGTGGCAAAAGGGTTAAAAATGACAAAGATTAGGTCAGAATGTGTTACAAGTCCAAAGATCATTATAGCACTTAAGGATAGTACAGTAGTGAAGAGGGTTAAGAGGAGTAGCAGGTGGAGTAAGGCAGGGATTAGTAAAGGGGAAAGGGGGTTAAGGGCAATGGGGGATTAGATTAAATGGAGAGTATTTATGCATCTGAGGAAAAGGAACACAGCATAGGGAACAGCACAAAAGAGCTATTATGAAGCAATCAACAGGTAATAAGAGTAGAATGGGCATCAGAAAAGTAAGAGGAAGACCCTGGAGAACAAGGCAAGGACCAGAAGGTGATATATCAGGATCAGGGGAAGAAGCATCCAGGAGGGCTCATAAGGGATAATGGGGAAAGGAGGGGGGATGGTGCAGATTGAGAAGGGGTAAGGTGAGTTGGGAAAAGTGGGAGAAAGTGGTATCTAGGAAATATGTGGAGGATGAGTATGGATGTTGCAGTTACTTTAAAAGTAGAGGAAATAGGAGTAGAGAGATTAAAAGATGGATGAGGTAGAGGAGTATTATCATGGTCATGTTAGGAAGTTTTGTATGTCTTCAAGAGTTTCTGGCATGGAGGTGTGGAGATGTTTGAGAAACAAAGTTTTCTTCTGAGGAGAAGAGGAGACAAATGTTCAAGGAGCAGAGAAAGAGGTAGGTGTAGAGAGAATCTAAATGCACCAGGCATTTAGATTGCCTGGTGCAACAGGTAAAATGAGGAGGCAAGGGACAAGCACCAGGGAAGTGGTAGAGATTGGGATAATCTGGATTTAGAATGGCAGAAAATTTGACAGGGAGGGAGAGGGAGTAGAGGTAGGATGGCAAGGGGTAGGGGAAGAGATACGAGGGAAGATGCTGAGATATCTTGGGAAGAAGGGAGAGGAGCAGAGCAGACAGAGTTGGAATTGAAAATCTTGTGTGTGCGCTTCCTGTCTGGCCTCACATAAAGAGAAGCCAAGTTTGAATCTCAGACTCAAACTTTTATGTAGGGTTGCTTCTATGAAATATGTAAAGGGAGCCACTTCAACAGGCACATATGTGTGATTGTGCAAAGCAATTTGAAATCATGACTAGGTTGGGCACATAAAGGTAATCATTTCTACAACTGATGGGGAGAGGTCAATAAGGTTGGACAGAGCAGGACTCTCTACCAATATAAAGTTCATGGGAAAAACTATGTCTATGGAAGGTAAACTTGGCAATATTGACAAAGGGCTTACAGCAGAATCTGTATTACCAGTGCATCTTAGACACCAAGGCAGGTGACCAGGTCATTTTCACAGTCTGACCAATCCTTGCCATATACAGGGCAATTAGCTGGGCACAAGAATTAAGTCCAGAGTGAGGCTGGGAAGGAATAGGTTTGCAAGTGGGGTCAGTCAGGGTAGATAATGCTATAATTATTACAAGCTTGCATGACTGGAATGACTGCAGAATGAAACTTTGCCACTTGTTTTAGGAGACATTGGAAGAGGATAGCATTGTCAGAGTAAGGGGCTTTTAGGGGGAATTATAAAGACTGATCTCCCTTGACTGGGCTAAATAGAGTACTCAAAAGTTTTGTAGAGGTGTCAGTAGCAAAAGGACATAGGTGGGAGGAAGAGAGAGTGGTGTGGAGTGAGGCAGTATTGCAGGGAGGACAAAAAGAATAGTAGTAATAAGAGAGGAAAGGGTAAACAATGAAGAAGACTGTGCAGTAGGAAGACACAGAGTTGGGAATGTTGGGAGAGAGGAATGGATGTATTCTGAAGGTTAAGTAATGACCTAGAAGGATGATTTGAAATGGATCAAGTCAACAGCAAGCATCGAGGAGCGGGTAATTGTAGCAGTGGTCAGAGCTGCGACCAAAGGAGAGGAGGGGTCGGGACACCAGAGAAGTCAGTTTCAACAGATTAGTTGATGAAGGGGCAAGCCTCAATGCCCTGAAATGGGTACAAAATTTTCATTAATGACCATTCAAGACTCACACAAAGCCAGCCTTTTATCCTTTCAGCACAGCTCTTACACCATCTATTATGAAGTGGACAAAAGAAGATATTACAGAAGAAAAGGAAAAGAAAAAGGATATTAAAAAAGACTGTAAAACTCGTTAAGCCAAGGGCTGAGGCCCAAGGTAGGGGCAATCCCAACAGTCCTCATCTTAGATGACCTATCTAAGAGATAATTGCCATCTCATTGTCACAGTATAAAGAATCAAGATAAAAGAGAATTTCTACCCATTGATACATGTTCAATTCACTTTGATTTAGGTATCAATTTTGTCTATACAGATCACTCCAGAAGTACTTATTCACATAGGTCAATTACTAGGCCTTTTCTTCTCGACCGCTTACCTTGTTCTTGTTTTTTAGAAATCTTTTTTTCTTCTACTTTTATTTAGTAATATAATTAGTAATGATATAATAATCAAAACTGTGTCAATTTCAAACATGGCATCAAAGCACAGAAAGGGGAGAAGTACAGACTACAAAGAATACAGATGATATAAAGGACATGGAGATGTAAATAAACTAATATACTGTCCACTGCAGAAAAAAGAAAAACAGTACATTTATAATAGCGGTAATTATAGAAAGAGGCCTTTGCTGACATAATTGGGAACAATTCTAAACCAAGAGAACAATGAACACTGATCATTATTTTGCAAAGTGTATAGGGAAGATGTTGACAGATTCAACCAAAATTTAAAACTGAAGCAAGACATGGTCAAAAGTTATTCAAGGAAAATTTCAAGAAAAAGTGAAAAAAACAGCTCCTGTGGAAAAAGTTCAGAACTTGGAGATAGATCTCAAGCAGTATGTGAAAGATATGAAGTAGGAAGTAAGGAGTACGCAAAAGTGAGGCAAAAACATATATTGAAAAGGATGTAATCAACAAATTAAGCTAAGCTCTTTAATTACATATATAGTATGACCAAAAGTAAAATCAAATTATCTACATCAAAAATAACACATTGTTTACACTAAGAGCAAATGTGTGAAATCCTTATGCCAATTTCCAAGGTCTATATCTGTCAACTGATATACTGTATTAAGATGGCAATAGACTTTTACCTTTCACAAACACCACATCATCTCTCTATGCTACTCTAAACTCTGTACAATAACAAGAACAGTATGTAACATTTTGCAATTTGTGTCTTTTTGTATTTTCGTATTTTACAAATATCTGTAATTCAACCAATACTACTAGTCACAGCTGGCAGGAATAAGATCCTGAGTATGACAATTGCATCCTCTTTCAAGCCAGCACTCTCCAGCCACTGATCACAGATGGTATTCTACCCCCATTATTTCCTTTCTGCAATTTAAAAAATGCAAGAGCCCCTTCCTAAAGGCCCACAGATTTATTTGTCTTTCTGATCATCATCAACTCTTCCTATAAGAAAAAACTCCTTCCAAAAATCTAGATTTATCTGAAATGCTTGTTTGTGGGTTATCTGTTTTCCTTACACTCATCTGGAGGGTTGATCTTATAGCATCTTTCTGGCTCTTAATGGGAAGTGCACTTATCAATAATATGTTTACAAATAAGAATTCATGATATCACTTTTACCTCCACATATACATCCACCTAAAACTAGATAAAATCACAGTTTTATCATGTCCCTTAGAAACTGTAACATGAATAGTGTGAGAAAATCAATTATCATCATCTCATCATCATCATCAGGGGCTGACGCCGACGGGGGCGCATAGCCGCATCCACCCTTCGCTTCCACCTACGAGGATCCCTCATGGCTAGACGCCAGGCAGGGACTCGGCCCATCTCTAGTTCTTCACGGCAGGTTTGGTCGATCTGCCCAAGCCATGACTTCCTCGGTCGTCCCACAGGCCTCCTCCACCCAGGGTTGTCTCGAATAGAGACGACCTGATGGGCAGGATCATCCTGAGGAAAGCGAGCCAGGTGGCCGTATAGCCTGAGTTGGCGATCACGGATTGTGCAGATAACAGGGCTTGTGCCAGTCTCACGGTGCAACCGTTGGTTGGACACATGGTCCCGCCAACAGTACCCCATGATCTGGCGCAAGGACCTATTACAAAAGGCTTCAAGACGAGCCTCCAAGGCACAGGACAATGTCCAGGTTTCGCTACCGTATAGCAAAACTGGCATTATCAGGGCCTTGAAAACCCGTAGCTTGGTCCTTCTGCACAGGTACCGACATCTCCAAATACTCTTGTTGAGAGAGTTCATGACCCCTGCTGCCAGGCCAATCCGTCTGCTGACTTCATGGTCTGACAGCCCAGAGTTATGAACTACACTACCAAGGTATGTAAAGCTCTCTGTGACTTCAATGTCCTCGCCGCAAGCACGTACCGACTGAACAGGTTCTCCTAACAAGTCCCCAAATTCCTGGACCTTGGTCTTGGTCCAGGAGACCTCTAGACCCAGGGGCTTCGCTTCATTGCTAAATGCATCGAGAGCCGCCACTAGGGTTTCCAAAGACTCAGATAGAATGGCAACGTCATCAGCAAAGTCAAGGTCTGTAACCTTGATATTGCCCAGCGTTGCCCCACAATGACTTTGAACAGTAGCTCTGCCCAGTATCCAGTCCATGCAAGTGTTGAAAAGAGTTGGTGCAAGGACACAGCCTTGCCTCACTCCTGAACTAACAGGAAAGAAGCTCGACAGGCCCCCACCACACTTTACAGCACTTTCAGTACCAGTATACAGGCTTGCTATTAGTCCAATAATCCTTGTTGGTATTCCTCTCAGCCTCAGGATCTCCCAAAGTGACTCCCGATGCACCGTATCGAACGCCTTCTTGAGGTCGATGTAGGCTGCAAGCAGCCCACGCCCGAACTCACGACGGCGCTCTACAATGACTCGAAGCGCGAGGATACGGTCTATTGTGGACTTACCAGGAGTGAATCCGGATTGCTCCAGTCTCTGGTGCCTCAGTAGATGGTCTCTGATACGTCTCAGAAGGATGTGGGCGAGAACCTTGCCTGGTACACTGAGCAGTGTGATGCCTCGGTGATTGCTGCAGTCCCAACGGTCCCCCTTCCCCTTCCAGAGAGGGATGACCACACCCCTCAACAGGTCAGGAGGAACGGAACCGGACTGCCAGATGGCAGCCAGGACAGCATGTAACCCCCGTGCCATAGGTTCACCACCAGCCTTTAACAGTTCAGCTGGTATGCCGCAGATACCAGCTGCTTTACCACTCTTCAGCTTGGAAATCGCCCCCCTAACTTCAGTTAGGGAGGGAGGGTCCTCACTGATAGGTGGATCCGGCAGCGGGATCTCGACACTACCCGCATCCAAGTTAACTGTTGGTGGGTCAACCTGGTACAGCTGCTCAAAATACTCAGCCCAACGTCCCGCACCGCAACAGGATCTGAAACGATCTGACCACTTACTGAGCGAACTGCTGTCACCTGTGAAGAGGGCTTGGAGTTCAGCTTTCTCAGGGCTTGGTATGCAGGACGAAGGTCATTTACTAAGAAATGGCCTTCTACCTCCTCTGCAAGACTCCTAATAAACTGTTCCTTGTCCCTTCTTAACAGGGACCGAGTTCTGCGCACATGAGAACGGTGCAATTCCCGATCCCCTGTCAGACGAGCCGCACGACATGCATCTGTGGCTTCCAGTGTCTCCCGCGAGATGGAATTCTGTACTGCTCTCGGGCGTACACCAATCGTATCTTGAGCTGCATCAAGCGTTTCACGCTTAAAGGTATCCCACAGAAGAACAGGGTCTGTCAGACTGCCAAGCACTGCGAAACGATCAGAGATTGCCTCAGCAAACCCGCGGGCACACTCCCCCTCCCTCAGCCTGTCCAAATGAAACACCCTAGGGTGATCATTTGACCGCTGGGTTTTGAAGTGACCGGGGGTAGCCACAACCAATCTATGGTCAGTACCACAGAACTCAGCACTCCTGTACACCCTGCAATTCTGAAGGATCCTCCAACGAGTGCTAACGAGTATGTGGTCGATCTCCTTGGCTGCAATTATGTTCAATTATGTTACACCTAAATATCAGCACAATACTCAAATGTACCAACCTGCTCCTCATGCTGCAAAGTCTCCGATGCATCTCTTATTTCCTGATGCTCACTGTTATTGACAGATTCCGTTTCATTGCCCACTATCTTTACTAAAGCTTCTCTTGCCGATACTCTGCAAGGGAAAAACAAAATCAAACAAAGGAAAATCAACAACTCTGTGTGTGTGTGTGTTGTGTGTGTGTGTGTGTGTGTTGTGTGTGTGTGTGTGTGTGTGTGTGTGTGTGTGTGTGTGTGTGTGTGTGAGTGTGTGTGTGAGTGTGTGTGTGTGTGAGTGTGTGTGAGTGTGTTTGTGAGAGTATGTGTGAGAGTATGTGTGTGAGTATATGTGTGAGTACGTGTGTGAGTACGTGTGTGAGTATGTATGTGTGTGTTGTGTGTGTGTGTGTGTGTGTGTGTGGTGTGTGTGTGTGTGTGTGTGTGTGTGGTGTGTGTGTGGTGTGTGTGTGTGTGTGTGTGAGTGTGTGAGTGTGTGTGAGGTGCGATGTGTGAGTGTGATGTGAGTGCGAGTGCGAGTGTGAGTGTGAGTGTGTGAGTGTGAGAGTGTGAGTGTGAGTGTGGATGTGTGTAGTGTGAGTGTTGTGTGAGAGTGTAGTGTGAGTGTGTAAGAGCCCAAATGTTGGGTCCTACATGAGTTTGGTAGATGGCGAGCTTAGGGTTAGGTAGACAACCAA